AAATAGTCTTACTGTTCCAGTTCTGCCTGGCAGATAGCAATGAAATCTTAAGGAGCAACATGAACCTACTAGTCTGAATTTCTATATCCCAGTTAAAAAAAAAAAAGTGCCAAGGGTACTTATTTTCCAAGGAGGTACCTTCTCTGTTTAAATTACTGCTCCCCAACAACAGGAAAAGAAATCAACTGAAAACAGGTATTATTGCTCCCCAACAATAGGAAAGGTAGTCAACTGAAAACAGGTAGTATCAGGTTAACCCATGGTGTTTATTTCTTCAGAGTAGCAGAGTAGGACCTAGGGCACTCACAGACCCTAGGCATGGATAACCAGAGTCTCTTGTGATACCATGTGTGCCATAAAAATATTATTTCCTATGTGTCCACATGAAATCTGGTGGGAAGCACTGGAGTAAAGGTCCAGCCACAAACACAAATCATCTCCCTAAGAGAAGACCCTTTAAAGGGACCCTATCTTAGTTTCAAGCTTCCTTGGTAAACACAGCATAACTTGGAAAGTAGAAACTTCAAAGAGTGAGAGGGAAAATTGTAGCCTACAACTTTCTCAGAATGTTGGAGCCTTCATAACTAACTGTAAGATCCCTGAGTTAAGGAAAATAGGGGCTCCTAGTAAATCCTGCCTCACTTCACCATTAGTTTTTAAAGAGGAAGGAATCTCAAGGTACAGATGAGTGGTAGTAGAGTTGGAAGAAAAATGAGAATAAAGAAACCCCAGCACTTAGTAAAAGAGAAAATAGAGAATAAAGATGGGAAGTTATTAACCCAAGACTGAGAAATTACTCAGAACTTAAAAATGAGCTACCCAGGCAACCACCTCCCCCACCGGACTGAGACATCTGAAGAAGGAACTGAGGTCACATAAGGAAGAGGTGAAAGGTTTTTTAGAATAATCTAAACAGAAGAACATACACAATGGCTCAGACTAAGTAAAATATTTGCATGAACAATTCTTGATTATTTACACCAATGAATGTAAAGTAGACATACTTATAGGAAATAAGAAATTTATCCATGTTTGAGTTTCAAATGTTTGAATTTTTAATTTGTTTTACATGAATTTGTTTGTATTCTTTAAATGCATTTCACTGAACTAATGAAGTGCTCCAGGAATATGATCAATATGTAGTAAAACTATAGAATGATGGCATTAAAATTATCTTAATTCACACAAAAAAATATCATGCATGTGCAGATACAAGCATTTAATACTTATTGCTTTATAATAATGGAATATACATACTATCAAATTCGCTGGTATTTTAAGCCCCTATGCTGCCATAAATTCTTAGAATACATTGGGAAGGCACAGACCAAGCCTGTCTGCCTATAATTGGTCTCAGAGCAAAACCCCTCAGGTAATATCTTTCAAAATATTTCTGCTCTCTCCATGACATTTGATGAGTCATTTTGAGTTGTGGCTTCCACAGATTTCAAGACTATAAGGAGAAAGGTGCGTGCGCACACACACACACATCATTATTCTAGGCAAGAACAAATCATCTTTCCCAATTCTCCATAAAATACTTTATTTTCAATACTCCAGAAGATTTCATTCAAAGCAGACTATAACAAAGCCTATTTAGGGCATTTCCATCTCTTCTTACAGTATCAAACATTGAATGAATTGAGGAGCTGAATCAATTATATTTGGGGGATATTATGGGAAAGTATTGCTTTAAAAAAATTCGTTTCTATGTGAAGTCCTATGCAACCTTAACTCACTGTGACAAATGCACAGGTTTGGAGTTGCCAGTTCTTTCACCTATGGTATGATACTGGACAGGTCATTTCTGCATTTCATTCACCTTACTGAAAAACTGCTACCCTATCTAAAGGCTATTAGAAATAAAGTGTTTATTTATTTAGAATTTATTATGTACAGCCAGTGTACTAAGTGATTATCTTTTTTTTTTTTTTTTAATATATCTTTATTTATTTCAGAGAGGAAAGGAGAGGGAGAGAGAGAGAGACAGAAACATCAATGATGAGAGAGTCATTGATCGAGCCCATAACCCGGGCATGTGCCCTGATCGCCTGGATCCTAGGCCGATGCTCAACCGCTGAGCCATGCCCGGCCGGGCTACTAAGTGATTATCTTACATTAGATTATTTAAGATTGTTCCAAATTTTAATGGTAAAATATGTAAAAACCATGAGGTATTATAAATTACTAAACAAGGATAAGATTTGTTCTTAATATGCTATTAAGAAGAAAAATATATATTTGAGGACTAGAAAGGCTTCAAAGGACTTGATAGTGCAGTCTACCTTTGGGAAATTTTCTGGCTATAATTTACATATCAAGTGATCTTTTTCCAATTTAGAATGTTCTCTGACCTTTGTGCATGATGTCCAGTTACTCTAGTAAAAGAATGTAATAACTCTTTGTGAACTGCTTCACAACTTCTAGAGAGGATTATAATATACTAATTTCCCTATGATTAGCCAATTTTTCTATGAATGCGTATGGTAGGCAGAATTATTTCATTCTCACAAAGATGATCACCTTCCAATCCATAGAACCTGTGAATATGATAGGTTACATGGCAAAGTGCAATTAAGATTCCAGATAGAATTAAGGAGGTAAATCAGTTGACTTTAACATATGGAGATTAACGTGGATTATCTGAATGAGCCCAAAGCAATCACAAATATCTTCAAATGAGGAAGAGTTGAGATTGACGAATCATAATCAGAGAGATGGCATCTTGAGAAAGACTTAACTGGCTTTGAAGATGGAAGTGGGTCATGAACCAAGGAATGTGGGTAGCTTCTAAAAGCTAGAAAAGTCAAGGAAGTAGATTCTCCTTTAGAGCATCCAGAAGGAACACCATCCTGCTAAAACCTTAATTATAGCCAGTGAAGCCCACTTTGGACATCTGACCTCCAAAACTGTAAGGTAATAAATTTGTGTTGCTTTAAGCCATTAAGTTTGTGATAATTTGTCACAGTAGCAATAGGAAACTAATACAGTGTGGTTTTTCCCATCTAACATTTATGGTTGAATTAGACAATGTCCAGTAAAATATTAAGTCATTCAATATGTTATAAACTACTGTCTTAATATTATATTAAACCTAACAATCGCATTTAGTATACATTTTCTTAAAAGAAAAATAATAGCATAATATCATAGTGCAGTCCTGTAGAAACCATGATTTCAGCCTTGTGGCCTCCAACTGTCAGAAAATAAATGTCTGCTAACTTAAGGCACAAAGTTTGTAGTAATCTATGACAGCAGCCCCAGAAAGCTAATACAGAGGCCAAGATAATTCAACGGAGAAAGGATTGTTTTGGAAGAGCTAGATATCCATGCTTTTAAAAATGAACTTTGGCCTTTTCTTCACATATACAAAAAAAGTTAACTTGACTATCAATAAATCAACAAACAACAAGTGTTGGTGGGAATGCAAACTAGTGCAGCCACTGTGGAAAACAGTATGGAGCTTCCTCAAAAAATTTAAAATGGAACTGCCTCTTGACGCAGCAATCCCACTTCTGGGTATATAGCCTAAAAATCCCGAACCACCACTCAGGAAGAATATATGCACCCCTATGTTCATAGCGTTATTTACAATAGCTGAGGTCTGGAAACAGCCCAAGTGCCCATCAGTAGATGAGTGCATAAAAAAGATGTGGTACAATGGAATACTACGCAGATGTAAAAAAGAAGGAACTCTCTTACCCTTTGCGACACCATGGATGGACCTGGAGATTATTACCCTAAGTGAAATAAACCAGTCAGAGAAAGACAAATACCATATGATCTAATATGTAGAATCTAATAAAATAAACTGAGGAACAAAGTAGAACCAGAGGCATGAATACATGGAACAGACTGACAAATGTCAGAGGGAATGGGGGTGGGGGGACTGGATAAAGGAAAGTGAAGGGATTATCTAAAGAACATACATGCATAGCCCGTGGACACAGACAATAGCGTTGGGGAGGGTCAAAGGAGAAGGGGGTGGAGCTGGAGGGGGGGAGCAAAGGTGGGGGGAAATAGAGGACATCTGCAGTAGTGTCAACAATAAAATTTTTTTAAAAAGTTGAAATAGATTGTAGGCCTCAATGTAAAAAGTAAAACTTTAGAACTTCTGCAAAAAAACAGAAAATCTTCATGACCTTAAGCTAAGCAAATGCTTCTTAGATATGACACAAAAAGCAAGTACAAAATAATTGGATTTCTTTAAAACTGGATTTCTTTAAAATTAAAAACTCATCTCCTCAAATATAAGAAAATGAAAAGTCAAGACATAGTCTAGGAGAAAACATGAACTTATGAAACATAAAAACAAAAGTTTTATCCAGAATATATAAAGAACTCTTACAACTCAATAAGACAACCAACTCTATTAACAAAAATGGACAAAAGATTTAAACACTTCAAAATGATATATCAATGGCCAACAGATACATGAAAAGTTGCTCTCTCATTAATCATCACAAATGCAAATTAAAGCCAAATCGAAAAACCACTTCAAACTCACTAAATGGCTAAAATTAGTGACATCAAGTTACTGAGAGTATGTGGAACAACTGGAACATTCATACATAGCTAGTGGGAGTGGAAAACAGTGATTATTAAAAAGTTAAGCATGACCCAGCAGCTCCACTCTTGAGTATTTACTCTTTACCCCAAAGAAATGAAAATGTATTGCCCACACAAAGACTTGAGTATTCGTAGCACCTTTCATAAAAATAGTATAAAATTTAGGACACAACCCACATATTCAACAAAGGTGAATGAATAAATAAACTATGACACATTATTACAATGGAATATTTCTCAAGAATGAAAAGGACAGAACTATTATCCAACAAAATGGATGAATCTTAAAAACATTGGGCTGCATAAAAGGAGACATACTGTTGATTCCATTTATGTAAAAACCTAGATAAGGCTAAATGAAGGTATAGTGATAGAAAGTAGGTTACGGTTGACTGGGGATGGGGTTGGGGGGATGTTTACTCCAAAAGGAGCACAAGAGAACTTTGGGAGATGATGAAACTATTCTCTATCTTTACTGTGGCCATGGTTATATGGGTATTGACATTTGTAAAAACTCATTGTAGTGTGCAAAATTTAAATATGAAAGTAATTCCGATTTACTGGCGAGGACAAAGAGAGAAGCGTTGTTTCACAGGTAGTAATATTGCCGGTTAGCTTTCTACTAGAGTTAAATTTGCAGATATCTTTTAAGGAGCATACTTTGGGCTTTTCAAACATTTGATTAAAATAGTATCTTAATTCTTGTCATTAGCATTAGTTTGATGGACTATTTGCTCTATTTAAAAAAACTATTTTCATTTGCTGTATTTTTTTATCACAAGGCACAACACAGAATACTATTTTGAAAATTATGTCTTTGCACCGAATTGAAACAAGATAGAGACAGAGAGAAGGGAATGTATAATTTGAAGCCAAAGGAAGAATTTGAAATTTAGCTTACCACAGGTTTGCGAAAGCACAAATATCTGCTCTTTCAAGTTCTCACCGTTATGCCCTAATCTTTGATGTCATTTTTATAACGCGAGTTATCTGCCACGGCCCTCCCCCGGCGGGCAACACCGCGGTGGGAAAGCCGGACGTCAGGGACGGGCAGCGGAGGGATTCGCCGGCCGCACGCACCGCCTCGCGCCGCTCGGTCGGCGGGCACGAGGACTCCGTCTCCGCCGGCGTCGCGATGGCTTCGGGCTCCTGCTGCAAGAGAGCGCAAGGACACTTCCGGGCGGGCCGGGGGCCCTGGAGACCCCAGATTAAGCACTTCCGGGTAGCACGTGGCAACAGGAGCCGTTCCTCCGCGGGACTCTACGGTTGTAGCATCTGACGCACAGTGGAGATCGCTGTGGCCCTGAGCAATGGCGTCTCGGTATGACCGGGCGATCACCGTCTTCTCCCCGGATGGACACCTCTTCCAGGTGGAATATGCCCAGGAAGCAGTGAAGAAAGGATCCACCGCGGTGAGCCAGCAACGTCTTCACCACCACCCCCGCCCCGTGTCAGGCCCTCGTACCCGCTGTCCCAGCCCGTCCCCAGGTGTAGGGGGACAGGAAGGGAGAGTCTCCCGCTTGTAAAAATGGCTGGAAGTGATGGGAGTAAAAGTTGGTAGATTTCATAGGCTTCTGTTGTGCAACTGTCTTTATTTAACGATAGCCGCGGGC